TATATCTCACTTAGTCCTTCCGAAACGATGTGGGCGGTGGGACCATCCTTCCCTCCCTTCTTAGAGATCGGCGAACCACCCACATCATCTTTCCCATCATGATTATATTTGGATTTGTAGATCCTGTTTTGTGTTAGATATATTCAATGACCCAGTCTCCTCGAATCTTATTTCCATGCACTTCCCACTTTCTCTTCTCGTCCACCAACACATCAAAGAGTGAAAAGAAATATAAACCTACCAACTATTCCCAATCATACTAATCCCTTTACTCTCCGCCGCTCGATAAAACTTGGCACTCTTCTTCAAATCCTTCTTACACCCCACTCCTTGCGCATAACAAAATCCTGCTTCGGCTAAAGCATCACCATCACCCCAAGCTATTAGACATGTTAGTATTTCTCTCAAATTCGCAACTCTCTTCCGCAGAAAAATTCTCCCAAATTATAAGAATAAAAACTTACTTCCAGCAATCTCAAAACATCTCAAGGCTAGAACCTTATCCTGTTCAATACCCCAACCATTCATATGGCTTACGCCCAATTCATAAATACTAAGCGCAAATTGAGCTTTTCTAGTCTTTCTCTCCAGAACATCAACGGATTTTCCATCCTTTGCTGTATCCTCATCATCCGCGACCTCAAGGCTAGCTGAATCTACAGCTTTTCTCAACCAAGCTACACCTTCTCTCTGATTAGGTCGCATACCCCAACCATGTCTACATGCAAGCGCATACAGAAGCATGCCTGTAGGATGATTCTGTCTAGCCGCTAGACGTAAATGATATGTGGATTTAGTCAAGGATCCCGCTTCATGAAATTCTATAGCTTTCGTAACATGCTCCTCTCCAGACATTTCTGCCGATGGAGCTAGCGAATGTTGCGATCGAGCTTTAATCGTAGTGTTATTAGTAGAGGCGACTGATGGTGCACGATTATCCTTTTGTGCTCCATCTTTATGCAAAACAGGTGGCGCATCAAATGGTGATGGATGATGACTAGGATCTGTTAAGCTTCGTCCCCTTTCAGCCAATTTTGTAGGTTCTGGGGAGCCTTGTTCTAACGTAGGACGTACATCTGGCCTGCGAGAAGTCGATGGCCGAGAAGGAGGTGATGGCGGAGGTCCGCCTTCAATAGTTTGGGTATTGCTCAAGAAAGCAGGTGGTTGCTGCTCAAAGACAAACTGAGATTGTGGTTGACCTTCTTGAAAGATTGCCGAGTTTCTTTGTAACATCTTGCCTCTTGGAAGTGAGAACTTTGAATATACGTAAGAAGGTACAGCACTATCACCAAGGAGATTGTTGTCCGGAAATCCTTCACTATGCATGCTGACGGGAGTATGAGCAGTATCATCCGTGAGAATAAATGAAGGTTGACTGTCAGAAGAGGCTTGTCGAGAAGGTGCCGGTTTGTCCTCGGCTGGATGATTACTGGATCGACTAAAAGGACGAGAGAAGTTGAAGGCGGGCCTGGGCAAACCCGCTATGGTCTACAGAATATTCAGAACTCACCGATGGTGATCGT